TGGTGATTGTTGTTATATACGGGCTCTTATATGGCTGATGTAATTGTTGATGCTTTTTATGTTTTCTGTGGTAGGTGATTTGAGGATTTCAATCCAATTGTTTTTGAGGTGTTGATGTCTGGCTGCTCCGAGGGCAGGGCAGTGTGCGAAGATATGGCTTAAGGAGAGGTTGCCTCCACATAGTGGACATATTGGAGGTGGTTGGCCTTTCAGAAGATGTTCATGGGTGTCTATTGTATGGCCTAAGCGTAGACGAGAGAAGTTTTGTATATGCCTTTTCGGTAATCCAGATGGATATTGTGGCGCTATGAAATTTCTATTGATAAGTGTATAGTGGTGGTGATTATACAATAGCCAGTCTTGTTTCGATTTTTCGAGGAGCTGTCGTTTTAATCTCGCTTGTAAGTCTTTCTTCTCTAGAGCGTATTCCATAGTAACCGGTGCGTGTGAAGCGATTTTGCTGATTTGTCGGCCATTTCATTGCCATAAATCCCAGCGTGACCCGGTATCCAAAGCAGTCGTGTAGATGAAACGTTGTCGATGAGCAGGTCTCGTATTTGATTGATTATGTTGAAGTTAGAAGCAGGATTTTGAACAGCTTTTAGAACGGATCTGCTATCGGTGCATATGAGTGTTTTGTTATGATTATTTTGTGCCAGGATTAAGGCAGTGCGAATTGCGACCGCTTCCGCTGTAAAGACAGATGCTAGATCGGGTAACGTTTGGACTCTCAGAGTTTTGCCCAATTTATTGACTACTGCGAAACTAGCTGGGCCGTAATCGGTTTTAGATCCATCCGTGAACCAAATGGTCCAATTGTCGGCTTCGTACTGCGCTTTGCGTTCCTGAAGATAGAAGCGTATACATCTCTTGGTGTGTCACTTTTAGTATATCTGATTAGCGAGAGGTCACACGAGACTTTTTTGATTTCCCAGGGAGGGTTTTTTGTCTGGTAAGATTCAGATGAATATGGAAGTTCCATGTTCTGTGTAGTCTCAAAGATCGTATGCATAACCGAATGATGGCGATTGTTTCTGTTGATGTTATTTATGTTACTTATGTCTTCGTTGATGACCGAGTTGCACGAGAAGGCAAGTTTAGATACCAGTCTTGTTTTGATTTGATATGCCCTTTCTTCGATCGTCGGTAATCCAGCCTCTGCCAAAAGATTATGGATGGGAGTTGTGCGAAACGCAAAGGTACTCGCTCTCGCTGCTTGGTGGTACAATGCTTTTAAGATGTTTAGAGTTGACTTTGGGGAGCTTCCGAAAAGAAAGAGCCCGTAATCTATTTTGCTTAACACTAAGGTTTTAGTTAAATATATTAATGTGTTGATATGTACATGACATGCTTTGCTTGCAAGGTAAGTAATTATATTTATTCTGGCAGCTAATGATTTCTTTAGATACAAGCAGTGTTCGTTCCATTTATAATTATGAGAGAATATAATGCCTAAAATCTTTAGTTTTTTAACATTTTCAATTTCGACATTATTTATAGACATGATTCAATAATGAAAGGTTTTGTAAGAAAAACTTTCTCTCGCTCTAATTTTATCAATGACACTCCCACCATACTCCTAAAAACAAAAACAGTGATATTTCTTTTCCAAATATCTTTGCAAGTTTTAAGAACATTTTTAAATTGTTAGTAGTGAAATTTTTACTTTTTAAATTTGAAGAAATGTTTGTTCTTCATTCGCTGGCGCCAACAAGACAAAATGTGTGAGCATCGTGGGACTACAGAAATTCAATGTAGGCTAAAGAGACGAAATTCTCTTAAATGCCGAAATATATTTGTCGATATTCGTGGAGACCTCTTGATTCTGCCAAGTCGCTGTAAAGTAAAGCATGCAATGGTTTTGGTAAATGAGCCAACGAAGGTATTTAGGTATTGTCCTCCACAATACACTCCTGGTGTCTCCGAATGAGGCTTTGACGCAATATAATATTGCCAAACCGCATCCATAGGCCCAATCGTCACACGTCAGCTCGGTTTAGTCAATGGCGCGATGTATGTAATTGCACACTTAAAAGGTTTACGCACGAGGCGAATGTTGGCTGGCGACCAACTTTGTTGAAAGCGATTAGTTGAAAGTAGAATGCAAAGTTGAACAATGCAAACGCCTTTTTATGGCGAAAATTTTTATATTTTTTTATATTTTGATATTTTTAATCATTCAAAATTTTTTTGCGGGCAACCCGGCGAATGGTTAATATTCTGACAGTTGTATAGTCTCCCCAGAATATTAAAAGTGCGACATCAAAGAATTCGAATTACCATATTCGAAACAATCGAGCCATATCCGCGAAGGAAACGTAAGCTCCAAATTTTTTTATGTGCCGTTTTTTTTTTGTTTAATAAATACTGCATATTTTCCACAAACAAATAGCTTCTTCATATCCATCATCTGGCAAACAAATACAACAAAAAAAAAAGCTGAAAGTGGACCATCCATTCTCGAGTTATGCGCTATCTGACGTACGCAAGTTTGGTATATACATAGAAATATTTATTTTCAATAACAATCGGGGGTTATATTCGATGCAAATAAGCTTGTTTAAATTAAATAATTAAATCAAATTCGTTTTTGTTTTAAAATACCACCATTCACTATTATCCACACCTTTTTATGGAATTTAGCTCCCATTTTAGGAAGTGTGATTGAATTCTTCCCCTTTTTCCCCTGCTTCCATAAACCATCCCTGTGGGTGGGAGTGCCAAATTTTAGAAAAAAGCTACTTACAAAACCTTTAATAATTGAATCATGATTTATAGATAATCTACGGTTGAAAAAGTCGCATGAACGTTTTCTACAAATGTGAAAATTTTTTGTTTTTTCTAATGATATCCTGGCTCCGGACTGGTCAGACCATTCCAGTATATCTTTTACTATATTTTTGATAATTAAATTGGTTTCTTCATTGTCGTTACTTTTACAGAGAATATAGACGTCGTCAGCATACAGGCAGTGATCGACTCGATTGTAGGATTTTATAATGTCGCTGATTTCGTTAAAGGCAATATTAAAGAGAATGACTGAAAGCGGAGAGCCCTGTGGGATTCCATTGCTTAAGGGATATATGTTGGAAAATACATTTTGGATCCTTACCCGGAATTTTCTATTGCTTAAAAAGGATTTTATGAACTTGCAAGATTTTGGGGCCAACTCCCCAAGAATGAAGCCGCCGAAGAATTATGTGTGACCCGATTCGGTCAAATGCTTTTTCGAAATCCAGTGACAGAATGGAGACGTGGTTGCTAGTGCAGCCTCTATTTGCTCTGAAAGCAACCTGGTTGGGGTTTATTAGTTGCTGTGTCTCGATAAGCCACGCAATTCGGTTCGCTATTATCCGCTCAAGTGTTTTTGATAAACAAGAAAGTAGTGATATCGGACGCTATCCATCGGTAGTGAGGGGGTTTTTATTCGGCTTACGGATAGGTATTATGGTTGCTATTTTCCAATTCTGTGGAATAATGCCCGTTTCGAATATACTGTTATATAGGTGTAAAAGTCGAGATTTCCCTATTGCGGATAGCTCGTTAATCATCTTGTAGGAAATACGGTCGAAGCCGGGTGTTTTTCCTTTTGCTTTGGCAGTGCACATAGATAATTCGATTTCACAGATTTGTTTTTCGATAAGGGCTGCTGATGGATGTACTTCATTAAGTGGGGATATCTGATTTAAGACCATGTCTTTTTCTATTGTAAAATTATTAGGAAAATTGCTGTCAGATGAATAGGTGGACCATACTGATCCAAACTGGTTGGCAATCACAGTAGGGTCTGAGGAAGTGGTGTTGTTGGTTTTTATGGCGACGATGGGGTTGTGTGGGCTTCGGTGGCAGAGCGTATTTATTTTGTTCCATATTTCAGGGACGGATGAGGAGGGGGATATGGATTCTGTGAACTTTTCGAAGCTAGCTCTTTTTTGGGTTTTCATTTCTTTTCTGAACTTTGCGTTCAGCTTTTTGAAGTTTATAAGGTTTTCGGAAGTTTGGTTGTTTTTGAACTTGTACCAGGCTTTCATCTTTTCTGTCCTGAGGATAGAAAGGTCTTTATTCCACCATGGAACATGGGTTCTAGGAGAATTAGACGCTTGTGGAATATGAAGGTTGGCGGCGGAGCGGATTGCTTTGGATATGTTTGCAGCCTCTACGTTTGGAGATCTCGATTTTGCCCTTTGTTCAAGCTCAATGTCGACATGATTGGAATATTTTGGCCAGTCGGCGAAGTCCAATAGGAATTTTGGAGGAACCTTTGTTCGTTGAGGGGTGTTAGGATTATGTGTAAACTTCAAAATTATGGGAAAGTGGTCACTATGGTGGAGGTCATCGAGAATTTGCCATGTTATTAAAGGAAATAAGGAAGGTGAGCATAGGGAGATGTCAACGTGGGAGAAGGTGGAATGGGTGGAAAAATGAGTCGGCCTACCATCATACAAGACGCATAGGTCAGACAGTCTTAAAGCATTTTCAATAGTGAGTCCGCGGTGGTTGGTGGTGCTTGATCCCCATAAATGGCTCCATCCATTGAAGTCGCCAAGTACTATTAGCGGAGTGTTTATTGCGCAGAAAATATCTGTAAGATCCCTACTACTAAATTGCTGACTAGGTGGTAGATATAGGGACGCTACCGTGAATTTGATGTTTAATCAACTTCTATTATAACAACCTGAAGAGGAGAGTTGATGTTAATCCTTTTATGTGGAATGTGGTTTTTTATCATCATACCAACACCCTGCTTGGATGTTGTGTTAGTTGGTGTGCTTGTAAAGTAGTTAGTGTAATTGTTTGGAAAAGTTGGTGTAGAGTTGAAGCTACAGTGTGTTTCTTGTATTGAGATTATACTTGGGTTGTGTTGCTTGATCAGAATTTGTAATTCTGAGAAGTTATTGTAATAACCTTTCATATTCCATTGTAGAATATTCAGGTTCATGATGAAAAAATAAAGATTCTCCACGTTTGAAAGGTGACTTTACAAGGAGAGAATATAAATATTAATGCTGAAGGTCGTCTGCAGAGAGATTTGTAGGATTGTCGAGATTTTCGACGCTTTTTATAAAATAATCATTGTTTTTTAGGAGGGTTTGGGTAAAAAGAGATATTGGTGACATTGTTGTTTGGTTGGTTTGACTAGTTGAGCTAGGTAGCGCAACTGGATTTGGATTTTTTGATGCCAGGCTAAAGTTGGCGTTGTTTGAGGTTGTTGGTTGTTGTTGTTTAAGTGGTTGTTCTTTAGGTGGTTGTTCTTTTTGTTGGTTTTGAGGTACTACTAATGTGGTTGCTTCTGTTATGATGGATGACTCTAGATTATTGGAATTTTGGTTTTGTGGTGATGTTGTGGCGGTATCTTTCGATACTGCATTTGAAGAAGGGTTAGTTTCATTTTCCCTGACTATGTCTGAATAAGGGCCGCGAAGTGGGGGGAGGCGTACAGTGCTTTTGTATTTTCGTCGGGCTTCGCCCACACTGCATTTTTCTAAGGTTTGGATTTTCAGAATTTCTTTAGCCTCTTTAAACTTACTGCAGTTCTTGTCAGAGGAAGGATGTTCTTCCTCACAGTTAGCTCATTGGATTCTAGTGCAATCTTCTGGGTCGTGTGGAGGAAGGCTGCAGATGAAGCACATCGGGTTGCGTTCACAACGTTTGATGGTATGCCCCAATTTTTGGCATATTTTACATCTCATTGGGCTGGGGATGTAGGGTTGCACCTTAACCTTATACCAAGCAACGTCGACTGTCTCAGGGAGACGGTATAGATCGAAAGTAAGGACCATTTGGCCAGTAATTGTTCGTTCGCCTTTTATTATCTTAGAAAATTTGTAGACGCCTGTGACGTGTTGGTCTTTCATTTCATTGATTATTTCCTCTTCGTCCACGTGCTTTAAGCAAGGGGCATAAATAACACCTTTTACGGAGTTTAAGGTATCATGAAGTTTGACGTTTACTAGACATAGGTTAAAAAAGGTTTTTATTTTCAAGAATTTCTCTGCGACTTGCGGGTTGCGCGTTAGCACAAGAAGATTGCCGTCGCGGAGTTGGGATATGGAGTAGACTTCAGTTGAAACGGCTTCAATGCATTTTTTGATAGCAAATGGACTGAGTTTAGAAAGTGACACGTTGTTGTCTGGTGAAGAAATTAATATAAATTTAGGATTAGGTGTGTAAGAGTAGTTTTTGGAAAAATGTCGGTATTTGAGTTAGGTTTTCTTTTCTTTTTGGTTGGGATGTCTAGAAAATCTGCTAAAGCAGAGAATCTATTTGGCGACCTATCCGGGGGCCCCGGGGCCATGATAACAGAACTAAAATGTAAGTAGTTTGGTATCTATCACGTGGTTTGGCACAATATTAATTAGTCGAAGAAAAACAAATATGAGCACAAAGTAGATTACGCGATTAACGGAATGTTAACACACAAGTAAGCACAACCAATCACTGCGAGAGAAAAGACGTCTGTTCGCTTTGAATGATAGTCGGTGACTGGCGAGAAAAGGTAAAAAACGAAATTATGGCAATTTTTTTTTATAAAAATGTATGTTTTTCTTTAAAAAAAAAATACGTAATTAACTATATTAACAGATATGTTTATCAGAAAGAGCACAAAAATGCCGTTAATTTGATATATGACTTGTAGCAAAAAATTCTTGTGGACATCATATTTGACTAAATATATATAAAAATATAGTTTTATATGAAAAAGGAAAAGCGCCGCAGGCGAAAATTTGGAATAAGAAATCACGCTATAGAAAATCTTACTCTCTTTAGTTTTTACAAAAATTGAATTAAAATTAAAAAAGTACTAAAGAAATATATACAAACCATTTTTTTAATCACTTTATTTGTTATAAGATTGAGTTGTAGAACTAAATGGATAATTAATCAAGCTACGCTATCCACAGTATTTTTGCGTAGAATTTCTTTATGCGTAGGCGGCCTTCGGCCGCGCTTAGGGATTATAACCCCCACTATGTAGAATTCTTCATTCTGTGTTGCCAAATAAAAAGGACTTAACACTTTTTGGAGAGAACACCTTTCTGTGTAGGCGGCCTTCGGCCGCGCTTACGGATTATAACCCTCACATCGTAGAATTCTCCTTTCTGTGCTGCCAAAGAAAAGGGGCAGAACACCTTTTGCAGAGAACACCTTTTTGCGTAGGCGGCCTTCGGCCGCGCTTAGGAATTATAACCCTCACTACGTAGAATTCTTCTTTCTGTGTTGCCAAATAAAAGGGGCTGAACACCTTTTGCAGAGAACATATAACATTAATACAGTTGTTTTATTGCACTGCTGGCAGTTGTACTTAAACCTAACTATATAAAATTATACGCCAAATTAAAGGTATTTTTTATGGACTTTCCGATAAACATATTTGTTAATATAGTTAATTACGTATTTTTTACGAAAAACATACATTTTGTAAAGAAAATTGCCATAGTTTCGTTTTTTTACTTTTTCTCAAAATATTTATTTATTTATTTAATATTTTATAAATGCATTTATAAAATATTGTGGGGTGCAGGTGGACAACTAGGTCATGGTGCACCGGCGATGAATAACCCTTTGTCTATCAGATGCATTGAACGATGTTGTTGTGGGCCGATAGACGATTGTGATGCTTTCGCTTGTGCTGCAGTCCAGAGCTTTAGATGGATGGAGAGTTCTGGATATTGGGCAATGAAAAAGGATGTGTTCAATGTCCAATTTGACCAAACAAGAGGTACAATTGAGTGTGTCCATTCTGGTGTAGTGGTGTTTAGTGGAAAATAGCGTTGTTCCAAGTCTGACTCTAGCAAGTGTAACACATTCCTCACGGTAAAAGTTGGGATTATAGTTCGATCTTGATAGTGCTGTGTTGTGAACCCTTAAAAAGTTGCGAGCGAAGTTCCACTCAGCTGACTTTGTTACAGATTGTTTAGCGGACTAACATGAAATGATTGCTGTATCTATACATCGACGCTCGTAGATTAGAGGAAGGCGTGCAGCTTCTTTCGCTGCGATGTCAGCCAATTCGTTTCCCAGTATACCAGCATGCCCTGATACCTAGAGAATTTTTAGCGGCTTGGTGAGATTAGTATTGCCGAAAATGAAGTTAAATACGTTACCACTTTTCATAGTCAGCGCTTTAATGACGCTGAGGCTATCCGAGCAAATCAATGTTTTATGGTTGGTTTTCAAAATATGTTTGCATTATATAGATAGATATACATATTGAATGAAAGGTCCTTCAATTACCTTTCCAACTGTGTCCATAAAATCGGTTCAATAGTTTTCAAAATATATGCTTTTGAAAATCTTGGAAATTCCACGTTTAGCCCCCCCTAACGCCGCCCCTGTCAATTTGCACCAAACAAAAGTTTACCATTAAACTCAGCAGAAAGGGGTGCACCACGTCCACGTTTTCTTTTTTCTCTAGCTCAAGAGTCGGTATTCTTTAGGTATGCCCACTGTAGTAAGCAAAACTGAGGGCTCCAGTAATCTACAAAAATTCTGAGTATACAAACTGCGTTTAAGTATACTTTCTGCGTTCTTGACTAATTTCAGCTTTAACTTGTTGAAAATTAAAGGCGTCCGTCCACTTACATGTGCAAATACCAAAGTGATTTTTATTCACAACACGCGTACAGTTCAGTGTATCTTAACTTAGGGCGGGACCACACTTTAAAACTTTTACATAGAGTGTTCAGTAACCGTATAAATTTTATTTTTACATGGGTAGGGGCATTTACTTCGAAGGACTTGGGCTAAACCTCAGTTTTCGCTTACCGGACCATTGTAGCGTCTTTCAAGCAGAGCTAAACGCCATAATGGAGGCGGCTCGTTGGCTCATAACCTCCGCCTCTCCAGGACGGCCTATTGTCATCTATTCATCCAGACTGCTATCAAATCTCTCAAATCTAACAGAACAACGTCCATAGTAACCATAGAATGCAGGAAGACTCAACCTGCTGGTATCAAAATGCTCCTTGATTGTTGTATGGTTCCCTCGACATAGGGACATTCCTGGCAACTGCCTAGCCGACGAGCTGGCAAGGAAGGGGAAGGAAATATTTGAAGTCAATTCTGCTCAGAATGCGGGCATACCTGTAACCTGCAAAAACACCACCATTGCGGCTGAACTCATCGAGGAGGTAAATACCTGGTGGGCTGTGGAAACCACCTGCCATACTACCAGGCAAATTTGGCCAAAAATTGATATAAGGCGATCCATAGCTCTTACTAGGCTGGACCGCTCCTATCTCAGATTAGTAGTCAGGGTAATCACCGGACACTGCCTGATGGGCACACACGGAAAAAAGTTATGATATCCAACCAACGATTTTTGCCGCAGTTGCAGAGACGGGGAAGAGGTGGGAACATCGAACACTATCTCTGCCATTGTCCCTCCCTGGCCACTTTCTAGATTGTTTGGCCGACTTGGACTCGGCGAACGTCCTCGACTTTTTGTGCTTATAAAATGCACTCGGTACTAAGGGAGCGAAAGAAACAAATGACTTTGACCAGTGGTATCACAACGGGCTTTTCCAGCCCACGTGTGATAAGCGGTCTGCGCGGACAGCCACTCTAACCTAACCTAACCTAACCTAACCTACCTAACACCACATAAAAGTAAAGCATCATTTTTGAAAATCGAACGAACGATACAGATTTGATGACATGAACAATCGCGGCGTTAAATATTTAACGTCACACGAGACGAAAANACATCATTTTTGAAAATAGAACGATCGTAAAATGATCGTCCCGTGAGACGAAAAAAATAAAAGTCCCAGATAANCGGCGTTAAATATTTAACGTCACACGAGACGAAAAAATAGAAGTTCCATTTAATTATTATGAGAACACGTAAATAATTTCCATCGTAAAATGATCGTCCCGTGAGACGAAAAAAATAAAAGTCCCAGATAATTATTAGAAGATGAAAAAGTTTTTAGTCTAACGATTTTAGTCTCAGGAGACCAAAACCGCTTTCCATTGTTCAGTAATAATTATACAGCAATATTTAATTTTATTATTTCTTATAATCGTCAGGCTGACTACACACGGGGCAACCGTTGAAGCAACGTGTTGAGGCAACCTGGTTTTCTTCTTCAATATACACGAGGCAACCATAGAGNCTTTCTAGATTGTTTGGCCGACTTGGACTCGGCGAACGTCCTCGACTTTTTGTGCTTATAAAATGCACTCGGTACTAAGGGAGCGAAAGAAACAAATGACTTTGACNGACTCGGCGAACGTCCTCGACTTTTTGTGCTATATAAAATGCACTCGGTACTAAGGGAGCGAAAGAAACAAATGACTTTGACCAGTGGTATCACAACGGGCTTTTCCAGCCCACGTGTGATAAGCGGTCTGCGCGGACAGCCACTCTAACCTAACCTAACCTAACCTAACCTACCTAACACCACATAAAAGTAAAACATCATTTTTGAAAATAGAACGATCGTAAAATGATCGTCCCGTGAGACGAAAAAAATAAAAGTCCCAGATAATTATTAGAAGATGAAAAAGTTTTTAGTCTAACGATTTTAGTCTCAGGAGACCAAAACCGCTTTCCATTGTTCAGTAATAATTATACAGCAATATTTAATTTTATTATTTCTTATAATCGTCAGGCTGACTACACACGGGGCAACCGTTGAAGCAACGTGTTGAGGCAACCTGGTTTTCTTCTTCAATATACACGAGGCAACCATAGAGGCAACAATTGCGGCAACCTCAGTAGTGTGTGCTCTGTTATGAAATGAAGATACGGAAGAAAATTTGGTTTTCTATCAAAACACCGTTTCAGCTCAACTGTTTTCAATGAGTTAAGCCAATAAACTCAATACACAACGATAAACAGGAGGCAACCGACACGGCAATCAACACAAATTATTTTGATACGTGTTGACGCAACTTGTTTTTCTTCAATACAAATGAGGCAACCATTGCGGCAACCTCAGTAGTGTGTGCTCTGTTATGAAATGAAGATACGGAAGAAAATTTGGTTTTCTACCAAAACAACTTTTCAGCCCAATTGTTTTCAATGAACTAAGCCAATAAACTCACTACACAACGACACACACGAGGCAACCGACCAAGGCGAATACATATAAGGTGGTATCGATTGAGAAAATACAACAATTATTTGTATTTTGTTTTTGCTTTTAGCGGGCCATTGTCAAATTTCAGCTATTCTTCCCCGAATGAAAATGGGCGACAGAAAATGCAAACACTCTCACGTTTTCACTCACTCACTAACGAAATACAAAATTTTGACAATCAAACGCTACTCACAGCTGATGAAACAACACCACCTTATATAAATTCGCCTTGCAACCGACGCTAAAATCAACACAATATATCAAAATATTTTGATTTTCGGGCGACACACAGTGTTCCGACTATATGGAGGCAGACGGAAACAATAGTTAACCTGCTCCGATTTCGCTGAAACTTGGCATGTACTCTAACTTAACTTAGGAATACGGAATTATGAAATTTGGTAGCTCTTGTGGGCGGAAGAAAAAATTTCCTCCGATTTCGATGAAATTTATTTTGTACTCTCTATTTTATTAGAGAAATCTAAATATAAAATATGGGGAAGATCGGATGACTATAACGTCTACAGCTGGCGAAATATATGGGCCCAGGCAAATGTTATGGAATTTCGGTTAATTTTTGGTTCCTGCTTTCCACTCTCAGGAAACAAAGTTTATACTTAAAAATTGCATAGGCGTATATATTCTCCTTTCCATCAATGTTTGGTGAGATTTTTCCATTGTTCGAAAAATTTATTAGCGAAATTACGCAAAAAGATGTTGAAAATCCAAAATTAAGAAAAATAAAATGACATATATTTGCAAAGTCGCACGAAAAGATCTAATTATATATTCGAAAACTACATACAATTGTCTTAATCATACGTCTAATTTCAAGACATAATTTCAGATACATTTCAAAGTAAATTCTTTAAGAAGAAAAATTCCAAATAAATCATAAATACTTTCACCTGAATATTCCACGACACTTAAAATATTGATTACAGTTAGAAAAGAAACATTTTCTTTAATGGGTTCAGCGCCAAAGGTAACTAAACTTATGTCGATATTTTTTTTTGTGAAATGTAGCGTTAGTGGAGAAGAGGGGTGAGTAAATGAAGTGAATTTTTATATTTATGACTTTTACTTTTGCCTCTCTAAGCCCAACTGGTTTACTTTAGTAACTGTCGCCATTACTTTTTTCCACCTGCCTCCATATAGTCGAAACACTGTGCGACGGTTGCGGCAACACGAATTTCTATGAGCACAATGTTATGGGCTGTTTTTGCTTACTTGTAAAAGCACATTTAGCGCACTTAGCTCTAAATGCTACTCTAAATGTACATTTATCCATACAAAATCCGTCACCTAAATGTAACTAAATGCAACTCCGTTTTAGCATTAAGAATCTAAATGCTAAAGGCAACCCTGTGATCTTCCAAAATGTCCACGATTCGAACATGGTTTAATTAGAAAAAGTGGCAACATTGCTTCTTCGCGTATACAGTGGCTAGCTGCGTTTCAGTGATCGCCGATTGAGATTACATTTATTATTTTACATTATTTGGATAAAGAAAATTTACGCAAATTGAACATCGATGTGATGCTGATAGAAATCTGGATGAATTTCTGATCATCTCTGTTTGTTTTGTTTCCTAATTAAGTGAGGAAATTTTAATTGACAGCAACGACAAATGAATATATACACAAACAAATGTTCGGTTATGGTTAAAACAATTCAAGTTTTTGTATTGAATTTTTGGTTTAAAATTTATTTTTTTCCTTTCCTGTAGGTTTTTTGCACATTATCTTCTGCGTGAGAATTGATCGTAGTAGATACGGATCTGAATAAGCGAATGGAACAAGGCTGTTTGTTAAAAGCATACGATTTCGAACTCGCGTAAATGTACATTTGCTAAATGCGATAGCATGAACGCTCTTCGAAAACATATGTTCGAAAGTGCTAAATGTTGCATTTTAAATGCAGCAAAAACGCTGCATTACATACGAGACAACGGTCGAAGCATGGTCTCTGGTTGAAATGTCTTTGAAAATAAGAGAAAATTTCCCGATAAGTTATTTCGCCACGTTCCAAGTGTACCTTAAATAATGTGCTTGTACCGAACGTGCGTTCAAATTTAAGAAGCTGAAGAGTGATTACAAGTCTACCTAGTTTTACATCCCTTTTTCGAACCACTTGTTCGCTTCTTCCTTTTATTCTATAAAATTATTCTTTAAACTCTCATTCTCATAACAATGTAACGACACACCCAGTTGCTCTCTGCTCGATTGGCGCAATCTTGTTCTCTACCATTCTTGCGTCATAACCGTCTTATTTTCATAGAGTAGATTTTAAAGCGTTGAAAAATGTTTGGTTGTTGTTGTAAATCACCTAAACACTTGTAAAAGCTTTAAAGTTTTCCATTATGACACTATCGTTGAGAAACATTGTGAACCCCCGGATACTCGTATAAAAATATTTAATAGTATGTATATTACTAACCTTAACATGTTAGAGCCACGTTTTCCATAGTTCCAAAAGTTTTCATGCTCGAGTATTATACGCAATATTATATGGGATTTAGAAGAAAGCTCCGTGATCTTAGTATGTTTAGTGAAAAAGGCAAGCATCTCAAGACTCCCATAAATCAAGTTGTGATAAAGACTGCTATCTTCTGTGCTTTGCTTATCAAATTTTTTTGGCGGCCACGAAAGAATGTCCTGTATATGATCCAGAATCTCAAGCTGGCAGTGCAAGCAAACTTCTTGAATACGATTGGATTTAGCATTAAAAATGTCATAAAAACTTGAACGGGCAATTTTGGCAGCAGGAGCATAATTATCAAACTGAGAAAATAGCCAAACTGGTACCAACTGTTTCAAGTAAGGCGCCATCATACGTTTACATTTCAATGCTAACACTTTCTGTACCTCCTGTGTTAGCTCCCGTACGTTATGAGCCGGATTGTGGGCAAGATCGAGGTAGATTTTAGACCACAATGATAAGATTTGTCCCACCTCTTCAAGACTAGCGTAATTTATATCGTCTATCAATTCTTCCAATGCCTTTTTTTTGGTAATTGGATCCTTTTTATTTAGTTTCCTCATCGCGATATGAAGGTTTGTGTTAGGTGTGCATTCATTTATATGGTATTCACTAGATGTCATTCTTTTATTCGATACATTCTTGTTTTTTAATTGTGTGGGAAAGCAAATTGAGGTCTGACTACCCAGTAACTCCGCACTACGACTACTACTGGATGGCTGCAATAATAAATAATTTTTGTAAGATCCGTAAAAATATGCATGTACTACGAACATTGTACATTACATTCTACTCTTGGCAGTTACTCCTAAAAAGTTTGATAAAAATTGTTAACAATGTGTAATCTAGGCTGACTTCCAAAACGTCAATTGCTTTGCATACGTACAAAGTATAATATTCCATAGCGCCGAGCTACAAAATATTGACTATGGATACTTTTCCAAAACGCATAAGAAAAGTTATCAGTGCATCAGAAACAATGTTGGTGCTTCGTTTGTTATTGGTTACCATTGGTGTTTTAAAAATGTAAATTTCAGAAAAATTTTTCATTGCTATTTTGAATATTTAAAATATGCAATGTATATGGTTGCAATGTGTCGCAACTCTGCATATACAAACAGTTTGAATACCGCAGTATAACAGTTTCCAAACCCTTGTCAAATTTGGTTTGGAGATAAACGACGAACGAAAAATGACACTGAAGATGGCACAACGCCGAAACCGGTTTATCTCCAAACCAAATTTGACAAGGGATGACGGAAATTCGTTCCATAATACATCATACACCCACCCTGTCGGAAACAACAACAACCAAAAAGAAGTTTCCAAACATTGCATTAATACGTTTTGGAAGTCAGCCCTACTGAGCGATGCACAGTAGTTCAGAGCAGAGACTGCGTTGAACGCCAACTATTGCATACTCAATCAATACTGCTGCTTTGTATGACTGAGCAGCGCGTTGATTTGTTTTGTGTAAATTACTTTATTTTAGGTACATAGCACGTTAAAACTTTCGTGAAGATTTGAGCACACGAAGTTAGGGTACCATTGATGGAATTGAAGAGCTTCATATTCGTACTCTGCCCTAGATTAGCATTTAAGTTGCATTGCAAAATATATCACATAGATCTCTGCATAAAAATTTATATCACACTGAATAAAGAAAAATATACATATTTAAATTATAAAATAATTAAGGGCGGTATTATCACTTGTGAAGCGAATGAATTTGGCGAAGCGGACGGTTTGGCGAAGCGAATGGATTGGCGGACGCAACTTAAATATGCATTAAGAGTGTTATATTTTACCAGCTTGTGGAAGTTCTTTGCATCGCGAACATGTTTAATGCCTTCTCTGTCCTTTATTTCGCTTCGCCAAACCGTTCGCTTCGCTAAAATCATTCGCTTCGCAAGTGATAATACCACCCTAAATTGTATTGCAAAAAAATCCAAATTAACGCTTTTGTTTTGGTTTTCTAGCTCAATAATAATGCTCTCAGTGAAGCATTTTCTGTTCACGAAAATCTTGGATGATGTGTTCCAAAATTAGCTCCGAGCAACTTAAAATTTTAGTTGAAGTGAATTAACTTCTTACTGCTCTTGTTAAAAAAAAAAAACAAAAAGAAAAGTCTAATTTCGGCGAAGCCGAACATTTAATACCCGGAACACGTATTAAATATAGTTTTTTCACCTTTTCAAAAACTACCGTTACATGGCAAACAGGGAGGGTTTTACTTCTATTTTACACATCTTCGCTAGTATGTCAGTTAGACTTCATGAGATGATCTTACATACAGTGTTTTTTTAATATTTGTAATCTTTTTCGTAATAAATTTTGTTCGTTAATTTTTAATAGAAATATAGTTAATTTTTTGTTTTTGTTTTTGGCCTTTGAATTTTAAATGATGAACCATTTTTAACAAGCTTGAGGCCCAGCAACCAGTCGACCAGGCACAATCAAGAGTTCCTGAAGATGACCTCAGATTGAGGCCGAAATATCGACATTTAAAATATCAATAGAACGAAGATTTGCGTTTCATTTAATTGCTGGGCCTCGAGCTTGTTAAAATGGTTCATAATTTGGAATATAGTTCATTCTGCATCAAATGGCATGTAAATTAATGATTCCAAATTCTTACAAAATTTAGGAAAATTCGACAAATTTTCACCAAAATTTTAAACTTTTAAGCAAAGTTTTTTGAGTATGCAGTTTTGTAGCTCACTCAATTTCAGTATGATAAAGTACGAGTTTTAAGTGGCTGTAAACTACCGTTGATTTTTGAGATTTTTTTTGCTGATGATGTTGTTCATTTTCCCCCTATAATGGATGCATTGTAGAAATTAGACGTGCCTTATTTGTATACACTTGCTATTTTATTGTAAAACGGAAAACTTTTACACGTCGGTATAACAAAAGTCTAACAGCCCTATTCGTGTGTTATCACAGTCAGTTGTCACAGTTCAATTGTCATTATCGTGTCATCAACTGTTGTCATAGGTATGCACAGTCAATAATGACAAGCGAAAACTTAGTTTTATTTGCCAATTGCGGCGAAAGTTTCTCTATGGTAAAACAGCTGTTTCCACTGCAACAGACGGTATTTATTTTAAATAAAATACACCACAGCAATGGATTACGAAACGCCGGAAAAGTAAGTAATTTTATAATAGGAAATTTTATTTCATTTTATTATGAATTCGTCTAGTAACAGACGTGGAAAATATCAATGCACCACACAAGAGCAACTGCAGTTTTGTGGTGTGGTCTATTGTGTTATGTTGTTGTGCTGTTGTGTTTGTGAGGGACTGCTCAGGTGGACTAGGGTTAGCCGCGGAGGCTGCTCTGTTAGCGGTTGTGGTGTAATCTATTGTGTTACGTTGATGTACTGTGGTGTTCGGATGGGACTGCTCAGGTGGACTAGGGTTAGCCGTGGAGGCTGCTCTGTTAGAGCAACAGGGGGTCACAAAAGACGTGGTCCACTGCCGATGTGTCCGTAGTCCAGAGCAGACTCTAAGGTGACTCCACCCCTCGCAAGCATTGCACTTGACAGAGACGCTCTGATCTGGAAACTTGCAGTACATCTCGACGCCTATTAGCGAATAACTCAGTGAGAGGGCAGGACCAGGATGAATGTATTTGCAGAAAAATTTATCAAAGCAAAAATGTTTTGGGTAGGCGTCGGGGCCAATGATAACCATCAGTTACCACCTCTGCATGGTTGTAAGTCATGCAGAGTCCGTACGGCTTGTAGCGCTGTGGCTTTGCCGCTTAAACTCTATAAGTTTTTGGGGGTGTGCGTCAAGCGGGAGTGTTGAGCACCGGTTATTTATTTAAGTTAGAAAATTGGGTAGGCGCTGTGGCCAATGGTAGCTCTTGTACCACCACTGTATGCCGACAGCAATACAGAGCCCCGTGAGACAACTACGGAGGAGTTGTGAAGCATCAAGCGAGTTTGTTGAGCATGATTTGGAGTGCCAGCAATTAACTACTTTAGTAAGTTTTGTTCTGCGGCAGTTGAGAAGTGCATTAAAAAATGCATACCCAATGAAGAACGAACGAATTATTTTTAAGCACAAGTGCGTTTATTCGCTGCACTTGGTTTTTGGCGGGAGTGCAATATACAAGTGCGTGTGTGTGTTCGCTGTTTATGCGGGACATGCATAAGTCGCTTAAACATCCTGGCCCCCCTAGACGACTTGTCGTCTAGCAGATGTAAAATAAGCCGCGAGTATCCGGCTCGAAGGACCAAGCATAACTCAGTGAGAGGGCAGGACCAGGATGAATGTATTTGCATAAAAATTTATTAAAGCAAAAATGTTTTGGGTAGGCGTCGGGGCCGATGATAACCATCAGTTACCACCTCTGCATGGTTGTAAGTCATGCAGTCCCTACGGCTTGTAGCGCTGTGGCTTTGCCGCTTAAACTCTATAAGAGTTTTTGGGGTGTGCGTCAAGCGGGAGTGTTGAGCACCGGTTATTTATTTAAGTTAGAAAATTGGGTAGGCGCTGTGGCCAATGGTAGCTCTTGTACCACCACTGTATGCCGACAGCAATACAGAGCCCCGTGAGACAACTACGGAGGAGTTGTGAAGCATCAAGCGAGTTTGTTGAGCATGATTTGGAGTGCCAGCAATTAACTACTTTAGTAAGTTTTGTTCTGCGGCAGTTGAGAAGTGCATTAAAAAATGCATACCCAATGAAGAACGAACGAATTATTTTTAAGCACAAGTGCGTGTGTTTATTCGCTGCACTTGGTTTTGGGCGGGAGTTTAATATACAAGTGCGTGTGTGTGTTCGCTGTTCTTTGTTTATGCGGGACATGCATAAGTCACTTAAACAATTAGTAATCCTGCAAACGTCGTAGTCGATGCTTTAAATCTGGTGTACCTTTTTAGTTGACTTACTTTTCCCAAGGCGAGTTGAAATGCACACTTTGTCGACGTGTCCGTACTTGTTACAGTGGGAGCACCACAGGTTCGACTTGTTGACGCGGCACTCTTTTGTTATGTGGTTAGACCTCCCACAGCGGATGCACAGGCATTCCATACCCAGTTCTTTCTAATTAATCTTGAAGGGCTTTGATGATAGGTTGGGCGTTTCCCTTTCTTGAACTTCGAAATTTTGTTGATATCTGGAGTACCGCCCTCACTGATATTTGCCACTCGCGTGTTCAGCTCTTTAGCGTTCAACCTAGCGAATTCAAGAGAAAGAGCTTTTGCGGCTATTCCATCAAAAGTTGCTGTACTTGCCTGTAGTAGCTGCTATTGTTGTTGTTGTAGCGGCTACAACAACCCCGCCTAGATCGGTTGATATCTCAGTCGTTGTCGTCGAGTTCCTCTAACGGCAGCCCTAAGAAGCGTGCAGCCTCTTCGTGGTCGCTCCACAGGAACAACGCCGTTAGGGTTGTCGGGTTTTCCGGGCATGCGAAGAGATGTTTCGAGTCATGAGGGGTCTCTCCGCATGCCGGACACTCATTTGGCACATCCGCGTTCAGTCTGCTCAGGTATGGGTTTAACCTGCTGCAGTAGCCAGAGCGAGGTTGGGCTATTGTGGTTCTTGTCCGTCTCGTCAATGTCCGGTGGTTGTGTGCATTCTCAGGTCTAGAGTCTACATAACTTGAGACTGACTCCCTGTGAATGCCGTTCAGGGCCAGTCGGTATGATGACGGGTCCAGAGGCTGCTTAATGAACCTCTGGACTTCGTCCGTCAGTTCGTATAGA